AAAAGAACTAGACATCTCTCTTGCTCTCCTCCTCCTAGCTGCTACACTGCAGCTAACAATCGTTCGTTGCCAGCTCAGCTTTCTGTGCTGCAAAGGCTTCTGCCCAGCCTGGTGGGACCCTCTGCTCCCCGCCCTCCTGAGCTCTGGGTTCTGTGAGGGATCATGCACTCACCTAACGTGCACAACCAGCTCATGTCCAACACTGCCTCCAACTATGAAGCCTTGTCATTGTTTGAGTCTAAATCCAGGTGCTAATCTGAATTAACAAACTCTGTTGGCTCTAATCTGTGCAGAGCCATACAAATGCATACAAGCACTCCCAGTGGATCCTGTATTTCCCAGGTTATTTCATTATCTAGGTCATTCCAACTTTCTGTCACTTTGGAAAATGGATACTTCATTTTATCTTAATTTATGATGCTACTGACAAAACTGGTTGAGTATAACTAAGTATATAACATGATTTTTATGAGACTGCAGAATTAACAACAAAAATGGAGCAAAAAGAAACAAAAGATGTCTGTGTTCAGCATGTGTGGGTTCCCAAACTTACTTTGCTTGTGCAACACCACTGTTAAGGGCAGCAGCTTCTACGAAGAATACTGTGCTGCTCGCAGTCTATACATACCACAGCTTGTGGACCGCTGCCCCAGTCTGCTCCTCCGTCAGTTACATCTATACTGCTAAAGGCATCCATCCCACCACTTCTTCTGAGTGGGGCAGAAAGGCTGAAGTTCACATTGCTCTGCACTGCCCAGCAACTGGTTCAGGTTTGGTTTGGTCCCCCATAGTGCTTGCCTGCCTCTAAGACACGATTTTCATTTTTGGTGTGTGTACTATCTGAAGTGGCTGAAATAAGCTGTGGCATATGTTATTGCCTGGCAGACTGCTATTTATTTAATGTAACACAAAGCAATAGCACATGCCATGACTGTGGGTGGATTGCCTGAAGGTACAATCCTTGTTGGGAGTGTGTTGTGTAAGACAGTATATTGTAGATGGTTTGAGACTGAGTAAGCTCTCCATCCATACTATCCAACTACAGAAGTCTCTGGAGCAAATATTCCTAGAACTACACCTAAATTCCATCTTGGAGGCAAACAGCTGGTTTACTCTAAATCCCAGGAGTGAATTAATACATATATAGGGTGGATGATCACAGGAATTTGCAGCAAAGCAGAGCGCCAACTATTTGATAGCTTAGACTTTCTGATCACAGTTGAGACACTACAGATACTTCCTTCCTTTAGCACATGTGAAGTGTCCACACACAAGGGTTGTATCAAGTTGGGGAGACCTCTACCAAGCAACACTGTGGAGTTTCCAGACAACTTTGCCAGAGAAAAGCTGTCATAACTGGGGGAGGCCCACAGTGCTAAGCTGCATAGTGATCTGTACAGAAACCCAGGACTGAGAGGATTTAAAGGAACATTAGCTGTCCTTCCTCCAGGAATGCGAGTTCTCTACTGAGCCTTTTAATCTCATTTAGAGAACAACAATTATTTTGGCATAAAACAAAAGAGCAGATTTGCAAAACAGAGAAGCATTTTCCAGAAGTAGTAAAGCAGTATTTCATCAGATTAATGTAAAAGAAAGCTGTTCCAATCCTTAAAAAAAATAAGAGAAATGTCTTACAGAGATAAATCCTAGTCTGGCATGTTCATCCCATGGCTGTGAATGACAGTGAAGAACAAAAAGTGAAGAACATAGTAAGAGTCTCAGAAAGCAGTGTTAACAGGAGAAGCAGCCAACCACAGATGTCCACAGGTGGCTCTACTACTCACATCTATTGCCAAACCCAACCATTTTAAGTGTAAAAAAAAAATTCCTAACAAATACACAACATAAACTATTAAACAAGACATGTCTCTTCAAAAATAATGTTCTACCAGCAGCAGTAATCTCTTCCATTGTTTACCACTGCTCTCCTGGAAACCCCAAGATCATACTCATAACCATACCTCAGTATTCATTCTGTTAAAAGGCACCAGAAGGCCTCTGTTGAGACTGTCTTCCTGTATGTTATAAAGCACCATCCACATCCCTGACATATTATTGTTGTTATATTATTACTACTTCAACTACTGCCACCACCACCATTATTACCGTTCATAGAATTAATACATTAGTGCCCTATGTCACTGCACAACCACAGCATGACCCTTAGCACTGCCCAAGTGACACAAAAAGAATGAATGTTCAAGGAGGAGAGGCCTGTAAGAGAAAGATTTCTATCTGTTCCTCCAGTTCCCCGAGACAGTACTGCAACCATCACCAGGAATGTCAGCAAAAGTTAATACTCCCCCAGGTAGAAATGACTTGTGCTAAGAAACCTCAGAACTTCAGTTCACACATCTATAACATTTCTGTTGATTTTCATTATACAGAAGACATCTATAACTATGTTTTGGAGAAAGAGTTAAGCTCCGTATTTGTGTAGTTTTGGAACAGCATTCCAATCTGCTTCTGTAACAGACATAAATGGGAGCATGCTGCTCAGGGACCTGCCACAAAGCCATCCTCAGATTCATGGTATTTCAGCTTAAATGTCCTATGTTGTTCTGCAATGTGTTTTAGATGTCTATCAAAAGACTAATGACATTTCTGGCATTGTTTTTGTCAGATTCTGTCTGTTTGGCACAAAAACCACATTTGATGATAATTAAGTAACAGTAACTTTTTTTCTTTTTAAATCAAAGCATTGATTTTGTCCTTACCTAGACTGACTCTTGCTTGAAGACATTACAGGAGAGGAGACTGGTCTTGCTGGTGAAGATGATGTAGCTCCTAAATTAGGAGATCCAGATGCTGTCAGAGAGTGAGCTCTTCTTGATGGCAGGTTGTTAGATGGAGAAGCATTAATAATAATATTTTGATCTATGGAGAAAACAAAAGTTTGCAGCACAATTACAACATCCGGCCCAATAAAAATGTTTTTGTCCAAGAGATCTACCTCACAATTCATTAATGCATAGTAAGACACTGAAGGGATTCTAGATTTGTCCCAAGACAGTCAAAAAGATACATTCTGAACAACACTTATGTACTCATTTCATCTGAATGGAAAGGAAGTGCTACTGAAACGAAATGAAAGAACAATCATGAACAACTACAGAAGTTAATTTAAGAGTTCATAGCATTTGGACTTTCAACTGCAAAAGTAGTTTTATACCATAAATGTATTTTTAACACCATAAAGAATGTCTGTATAAAAAGACTTTAAGCAAAACCCTGAGGGACTTTTAAGTACTGAATCTACCTGGTTCTTCTTGTTCATCAATATCTTGAGGATCCGAACCACTTCTATTACGATATTCCTTACAGCTTTTTGCCTTCCGAGTTGCCATTTCATCATCAGTGGCCTCTCCACTTTCAGCCTGGAAATAACGAGCACCATAATAAACATCCTGAAAACACTACTTTCCCCATTCTGTATCAGTGTAATCTGTAACAAAGCCATGAGATAAATCAGCTGTTCCTTACGAAACAGACTCCTGTAAGGCCGATACTAGTAGAAAAGAGACAACATAAACAGGATACATAGTGAGGTGTGGGACCATTAGGTGTTACCTCAGTTTGACATCACACAGAAGACAGCAATGATCGCGCCTCTCTAAAGTGGTGCAGCTGGTTTCACGCTATTCCGCTGGTGCATAGGAGCCCTAAAGAGGATGGATCTTGTCATTTGAGGATCTCCCCTACCTGCCCACTAGAACATGTGGATAGTGTAGAGCTGCTAGCCCCTGCATTTTCCTCTCTCCTGGCTATTGCTGAAAGTGGTTGAGTTCAGGAAAAGAAAGGAATCTGCCAGATGAAGTCCAGTTCCTGTCAGCCAAGTAAGATAAAACTGTGTGCTAACCTGAGGCGGAATAACTGTGGTAATGTTTTTGGGAACATGAAAACAAAAAGGAGCACAGAAACTGACACCAGCCTCCAAACATCACATTGCACATAAATATTTTTATTATTACCAATATTTTAGCTTTATACTGAGGTAGCACCTAAAGGTCTCAACAAGATTCTGTTTCCTTCTGCTAGCCCCAGTGCCCACATGTCCAGAGAATGCTTCAAGCATGAGAAAAGAAACCCAAACTAATGGAAAACAATAAGCCCAAAACCTGAAACTGCAATAAACAGTTTTTAAATTATCATCTAACTTCTTTTCCCTGGTTCAGAATATACAGTAACTGTAGGAAGGAAACAAATCAGCCAGAGAAGCAACAAAATACACGAATAACAAAGTATTCTACCCTCATGAGTACTTTCTTCTTTTTCTTAGCTGCGCTTATTCCCAGAGTGTTGTTTCTCTGTACACTAGGTTTGTCGGTGCTTTTGGTGAGAGTTCCTGTGCTTGTGTTTCTTGCACTCCATCGTCTGCCTCCAAACAGTTCAACAGCCTGAGCCAAGGTTGGGCCTTCAAACCTTCCATCCTCCTACAAAAATTCTCAGCGTTAACAAAACAAGAATAAAAACAGACACATTTTCTTAAGCAATAATATAGACATCTCTAAGGAACCAATGAAAGACAAAACATCAAGAGGAGAAAATTTTTAATTACTGCATGAATACCAAAGGGCTATTTTGTTTGCTATTTTGGTTTTTTTTTTGGCCCTAACTCTCCTCGCTCAGTATTTCAGCACCCTTTTCAAGGACGGTCATTGCTTTTTCTTTAATAAAATACTTATTCCAAAACTCCAAACATATGAAGAGCTTCATAATAAAAAAAGATTTAACTTCAGTGTATTGAAAACATGCAAGGTTTGACAGAACATTATGTGGAGACTCAGATCGTATTGACTCAAGCTGTGTTACAAAGTTGGAGATTTGGTGCTCATCTTTAATCTTAGCTTACTTATACTAGAAACTAATTGCATTACATTAAGTTGTCGACATCTTTGAACTTATACAAAATCACAGCATCTTTTACCTGGTAAAGGCTGACATACTGTTTCCGTAGCCACTGTAGTCTTTGATCAGGGAATTTCCTCATTTTTCTTACAGCTTTAGTCAATTCCAGCAATCCATCATATAGCATTCTGGCAGTATATTTTGGAGCAACAAAGTGCAGCAACTTATTATCAGTAGTCTGAAGTCCATAAAGTAGTGTTATACCATTTTCTTCAAGGGACATATTACAAAGTTTATTTTGAACACACACAGTGTGCATATCAATGCCAGAGTGTCCCATATATACAGCCTTGGCTGAAAACAAGTCCAAAAAACCTTCCACCAGTCCAGTATTACCAAGAAACTGGTATTTACCAAGATCTGCAGTATTACCCAGCACACTCAGTTTTGCCTTAGCATTTGCAGGGCAAACCGTTGTGGGTTTTGTCCAAGTCAAAGTACTGTTGTCAGGCTGAAGCTGAAGAAAGCAACGCGCTGAGAGATGTGTCTCCTGGTCGTAATGAATGACGGTCGCCCCTTGTTGCATGAACTGATGGACATCAGCCCTGATAGATAACACATACCAGGGAATGAGTTCTATCCCATGGCAGAAAGCCTTTTGCTGCTCTTCTGTTGAATTTGTGTCCCACTCCTTCAACTGCTCAAATATATCACTTTCAGAATCGGAAAGATCTCCAATTATAAATCTGTAAGTGAACAAAGATGAGAGACTTCTATTTAGTGATACGTGTGCTGATCTATGCTATGATTGAATATTTTTTCTGCTGTAGTTTAAATAAAAAGAATACTACTGTCACTACATAATTTGGACTTACAGTCGGTGTTACAGTATTACAATTTATGCTATTGCAATTTTGAATTAATTAATAGATGCTGCTACAATTAATTATAACTCCCATAACAACGTAATCACATTTTCTTAGAACTTTCCAAACATTACGTTAACAATAAAAAACTTCAGTTTGGATTTTAAAGCCAAGTGATTCCAGTTTCTAAATCCACAGCACAAGATTGCTTCAGTTGAAATATCAAGTACCGTATGGGGAAACTGTGAGCAGGATCCAGTAGATTGAAGACAGGACTTCTAATCTCTGTTCTATTATTGATTTAATGTGCAGACCTTTCACATTATATAATTTTCTGATTAACACTTGTAAAATAGTGGTTAAAATACATGCCTTCCTCATAAGAATTTTAATGGATACTTTCCATTATAAAATTTAATTTTACTTAAGAAAAATATTAACATGAAACCTGTATGCAGCAACCAAAATTTCTGAAATATTTTACCATAATCGGAAACAGTAGATACAGAGCAACAATACTGAATAAATGGGGTAGTTTAAATAAAATTTCTTCCCTACAGAAGCTTCTAACATGTATGAATGAACAAATGATCAATATTTTGATACTGCTTTAATGAACATAAAAAAGCGCAAACTGTTCCATGTCCAGCAGAACTAATGAAGCACATTTTTCTAAGGATATCCAGCCAATAAAATGCAAAACACCTTCCTGTGAATATTCTTCAAGGCATCTTGTCCTAATACCCTCAGTGCTTCCCCTTCATATCACCACAGTACTCTCAGCTCCTGCCCCTGTCCTACCAGCTGAGCAAAAGACCATTCATGTTGTGACCCAAGTCACATATGCTATCCTCCCTAAGCTAAACAGCACAGAGAACCATTAGCTCTTCCTCAAACTCTTCTCTCCCCAGGGCACTAATTAATTTGAATTCTTCCCTTATTCCATACATCGATTCTAATGATTCCTTTATGAATTTATTCATCAGTGAGACCTCTACCTCTCCGCCAAATTTAGCTAAAAGTGGCCAACTGGCTGAGGATTTATTGCTTGTGGTGAGGGGACTGACAAACAAAGGCAGAATAACTGTATCAGCCTTAGCTGTAGCTCTATTTCCTTAAGAAATCTTCCTAAAAATAAAGGTCATGCATTATAACTGAACTGGAATAAACTGTCTTACCAGAGTCTTACCAGACACATGTACATTAAAATATTTACCTGTATTATACAAGATGAAGGTTTTCAAATTAAACAAACAACTGAAGCAGCTCTTTTTCCCCCACACCCTCAAAACAATCAAATAATTCTCTGCAAAAATGCTAGAAAATGTATTCTGAGACTAGATGTGCATGGCTGGAGGAGTCTAGTACAGTGGAAACAGAAATGGCAAAGCTTCATTTATGCCTTATTTCACATTTGATAACACTGGCATGCTGCAGATGAAAATGTACAAGAAGCAGGTAGGTCAAGCACACACATGTCATCATATCCAGGAACATAGCCTCTGACATGAGCTGCCAAAAGCGACACAGCAATCAATTATTGAGAACACACTTACAGAGCTCGGTTTGAATCAGAAGCTTTCTTTACATGGGCTGCACTGAGATGCAAGGAAATGAAAACAAAGGATAAAGGAAACATTAAAACAGATTGCAGTTTTAGAGGGGAAACTTGCACAGGATACAAAAAGGAAAAAACTTGAGGTTTTCCCCTGTTATTTTAAAAGGTAGTTACTGTAATTAGGAAAGCTTAAAAGTGAAGATGAGATCAGGCTAACAAAGCAACGCATCAAAGTTTAAAGTATTTGATTAACCGTTCTATAAAAACTGTATTTCAAACTTGAAATTTTTTGTCTTTTCCTACCTACCTTTATTTATTTGAGAACTGTCAAGACAGAGTTCTAACGAAATTTAAAGTCTGATATTTATCTGGCATGTACAGAAATTCAGGGTGATTAAACAGGTCACTGATTGCAGAGTGATAGAGTTTATTTGCTAACACAATTGGGAAAGTAATTATACCCACTACCCACAGGTTTTATTAGATGCCTTTCATTTTCTTCAAATCAAACTAATCTATCAGCTGTGGTGGGTTCATGTTCCACAATACTAGTCCAAATCAGCAAAAGGCAAACTAACTGAAAATCTTCCTTGCAATTTTAAAGTAATGAGAAACGTTATACAGCGCATTTTTCTGCCTTTATGACCACAAGACTACAACTAGCAGGTAATACATAATTATTGTATCATTTGGATTTTATAATGTTGTATGCAAATATGACTGAGGTCTGACAAGAAAGAGACCTAAGTTTCTCCCTTAGAATGCTTTAGTTGTTCATAGCATTAAAAATAAACCAAACGTTGCAGCCTGCATACAACAGGGTATGCAGAATATGGCCCTTCTGCCTCTGCAGCAATTTGCTCCTGTGCCCCACCCAGCCCTCTGAATGCCCAGGAAAGATATGGCAGATGAACAAGGAATTTCCGAAGTCTATGAGGTACTTGAGCTAAATTAATACTTTCAGAAGTAGTTTTCTACAAGTCATTATACTGTTAAAATCAGTACTTGCTGCACCAGAACTACAGATACTAATAACTGAGTAGTTAGGTTTCCTGATTCAGGCTACTAACTTTAATTACCTATCAGCAGTTCCGTTCATTTAAATTTTAAACTTTCATTTCAGCGTCATACTAGCTTTTATTTTTTTTTTTTTGCACTTAATTCCTACTTTAATTAGAGTGGAACTTACTAGATTATATTTAAATATAAAGCATAAATAACTAATTTATCAAGAACTGATTTCATAAACACATAACAAAGAGAACTTAATTTTCTCCATATTGTTCTTTTATATTTAAATTCTACTTTGTTCATCCAAGCGAAATGTTGATTGTGACTGTGAGTTGCAAGCTGAGCTTAAAGCATATTCATTAACAGAAATGATTCCTGAAAGAAAGCATTTGAACTGAAGTAAGTCAAGAGACAACATAAATGGACAGAGAAGTGGGACTGTCTTTCTCGGCTTAATCTACTGCTCCACTTCCCAGAAGCAACTAAAGCCAGATGCGAATAATTCTATTAGAAACCATTCTTTCAGGAAATAATGATTATTTATTTGAAATGAAATTTAGAAATGCACGTTAATGAAATAAATGCATTTAAAACAGGAAGATGGTAGTTCCTTCTCAGGCAGTCACTCATTAGATTTTATGTGTAAGCAGCTGAAATATGGTGGATATTTCTGAACATATGGATATTTCTGATACACATTATCAATAAAATACCTCAAGCAGTGACCTAAGCATGCTCTTTTATGCAAACCCTCACGTAATTTTACAGCACTTCACCTCTGAACAGTACAGTTCTGTTACTTAATTTGAAGTCACTCCAACACTCTTGCTTAGTTTAAAGCTGAGCCACCTATGTCTATACGGGCTGCAACTTCACTGCAAAGCAACATTCTAGAAGATCAAGGGATGTCTTAAACTTTGCATTTACCATATTTCTTGCTGGTGAATAGTACAGAATATACCAGGTCTTCAGAGTGAAAATCTGAGGTTACTGAACACTGGGCTTTTACATGGGACACAATTAAGTAAACTTCTATGTAAAAGAGCAGGACTACAACAACCTGAAAATTCAAAATGTGTACTGACTTACACATGTTTTCTGGACATAATTTAAAAGCCTCAGATGAACATGTCCTTAAAAGAAGAGGTCTTTTGAAGGATAATAAATAACCTTTATTTTGAAGGGGGCAGAATGCTGCCTGAGCATGCAGAATATAATGTTCTGAACTCTGATAACAGATATGTCCTGGTGCTATTCCTGTCACCACAGATCAAAATTGTAATCATAACTGTGGATTTTTAAAGCTCTGTGTGTAAGACGAAAAGGATTTACCCTTATCGTGAGAGGAAGTAATTACATCATGAGGGAAAACATAACTATACTGAGAGTTTCCAAGCGTTTGAGAACTTAGCATAACTCCAGAGGGGTAAAGTTCTGAATTGGAAGAGGATAAATACAAGGGAAGATGTTAAAGTCACCCTTAATACTAAAAGCGAGCCTTAGTAAAAGAAGATTAAAGATTAAAAACATGAACTATACAAGTGACAATAGAAAATAAAATGATACCTACTGGTACCGGTTTTTGTCCTTAAAAGAGTTTTTTCTTGAATTGCTCCCTTCACTAAAATTATCTTCACCCTCTTCAGATTCCAAACTGCGATTGCAGCTCCGAATAGTTTGAAAGATATTGTTTGCTGTTGATTCTTTTTCTGGATTATTTAAACCATCTTGGCCTACTCGTTGCAAGAAATTATCTTGTCCGCTGTAATCTGAAACAAACTAGAGATATCTGAAAGATTAGTATAGTAACAAATAGAATATTGTGTCATCTACTTCTCACTGGAGAAATTTTTACGAGAATTAAGAATATTTAGCATGTATTTCTTATTAGCTTCTAATGGGATTTTGTACCTACTTTCAATCCCAAACAGACCAAATCACTGCATAAATCAAGTAACAATCAAGTTACAATAACTCCTGCAAACTTTTTAAAAGCCTCAGTCTTAATCTTTTCATGTAACGGGAGCATTGTTCTTTTAAAACCAAAATGATAAAACTCAAAGGAATTGCTTCTTTTCATAGAGGAAAAGCTTAATCCACTGAGCTTCCAAATTCCATTTTTAAGGAACTGAAAACCTTCCAATTCCCAATGAGTTAAGTGGAAGGTCAGAGCATTTAACAGGAAATAGTTCTTTAAGGATTTACATACTTACTTTACCCGAAGTATAAACATGATCCTTTGGTACTAACTAATTTCTCAGTACTCTAATACTGAACTAGGTATAAACAACCATATATCAATTGCTACAGTAACTATGGGAAATGAATTGCGGTCCATGTAACTGAACAGTCTAGCAACACCCTAGTTTAGAAAACTTTAATTAGATCACTCTCGTTTGGAAAACTTTAATTAGATGATGCCTTCATATAAAATAATAAACAATATAAATTAAAATAATATAATATAAAGCAAAGCACTGCATGTCTATGAACATAACCTCTTAGAATATCAATCTCATTTACCTCTAATGTTTCATCCTGGGAGTTATATCGTGGACAGAGTCTGATGAGGCTCGATGCTCCATCCAAAACTTCACAAAGCTCTTTTAAAAATACACCACAGAAAGGAACAACTTTACAGCCTGGAATATTGAGTGCCCGGCTGACCACTTTCCTGTATTCAGATGATGACTCATGTTGTGCCATAGCATCTTTCAGACTTCGCATGGTTTCAATATCAGACTGGTCCATAAATTGCCACATTTTTAAAACTTTTCTTGACCTATTACAAAAAGAGATCACAACATTTATTAAAAAAATTAAAAACCATTTACATTCAAGTTCAACACTTGCAGCATATATGTAACAGAGGAAATTATCATCATTACTCAGAAGTGAATTAATGAAATGAAGGTCATTATTTTTATGAAAATTCTGGTTCGTGGGCCATTTTCCCCCTTTTGAATTATTAAAGAACAAAACTAAAAAGGAGAAACAAGCAGTCTGATCTACTGGTGTAACATTTGACATTTTAATAAAAGCCCAGCTGCGTAAGACATACAAGCAGGCTTTCTAACATTTTCCTTGTGTCATTGCCTTAAATTTATAAGGGCCTGGGAAGAAATAAGAAAAGATGAAGGAAATGGCACAAAGATAAGCCAGTTGTATTATGAACAATCCATAAACTTAGCAAAAGGGTTTTTTTAACTAAATTTATTTAAAATAATTTACGACGATTTTTTTTCCCATTTCACTCACAAAATAAATTTTTTATTTTCATGGAAATAAATAAATCAGGACCATGTTCCAGCTCTCAGGCACCAATGCAGTGCTGTAGATGAAAAGAATCTTTGATTTCAAACAGAAATAGCTCCTGATGCTCCCCGAGGACTGCTAGTACCGCTGGGAGGCCTCTCACCTTCTAGGCTGTATGGCTGTGCAATCGTAAGGCCTTTCCACCCACCCCTGGCCCCAGACATACCAAAAGGTCTGCAGAAATGCTAACAGTAGAATGTCCTTAACCCCACTTTCTGTCCCTGTCCCGGAAACTCTGCTAATCAGCACAAGCCTTCCTCTCCTCTCTTTCC